AGGCATTCCAGACTCATATTGTAGGCCCAAAGGTATTCCAATCTGTAAAGCTATGGACCCGTTATGTGCTGTTCTGTTCAGTTTGTTATGATATGTTAAGGTGTGACAGGGTTATGTGGATTGTATGTGTATTGGTATTTTGGGGGTAACTCACTAAGCTCTCGGGCTTACAGTTTCAGTTTATTTTTTCAGGTACCTCAAGGGATCGTGGCAAGGCGAAGGCATGATCATACAGCTCCTCCTATTGTGTTATGTTTCTGGGAAAACTCTGATATAAATGTATTTTGAAAACAAAGTTGTAATGTTTTGATGAATTCGACGTGTTTTTGAAAATTTACATTTTGGCTTAAATTTTGAGTGTTACATTCAAGCTAACAAATATACACAAGTGAACAATTCATTAATACGGCTACTTTTTTCCTTATGGGTACTTGTGATTACCTTGGATTGTTATAGTTGTTTGAGAGAGGCGAGAAAGAACAATTGAAGGACATTCTGAGTGAAAAGCTTATCGAGTGTGGTTGAAAAGATGAAATGAAATCCCTTTGTAGTTTCTCTCTCTCTCATCACGTGTACATATACACACATACATAATAAAGATGTATATACAGGCTCGACCTCTTTGTTCTTATGCATATACAATGGTGACCTGTGAAAGCAAACTTAGATTAAAGAATGGAATAATGTCATTAACCATGATATTGGCAAAGCAAAGACCGAAGGAGTTGAGGAGGATAATCCAGGATTTCCACTAGATTTTGCAGGGATTACTGTTGTAATTGATACATGGTAGTCTATTAAAAACATTATAGCTTCAAAATCAACCTACTAAAAAGAGCATGCAGGGGCAATGTGGTCCTAAAACTTTAAAAATTGAATTCTTTAAATATAGTAACAGTGTGCACGGGGAAACATGGTCCTAAAACTGTAAAATTTGAATTTTACTAATATAATAACATTGTGCGGTGGCAATATGGTCCTAAAACTATAAAAAAAATTAATTTTATTAATATAAAAAATGTGCAGGGGCAGTATGGTCCTAAAAATGTAAAAATTGATTTTTTTGAAAAATATTAAAACAGTGTTTAGGGGAAATATCATCCTACAACTTAAAAATTGATTTTTATTAATATAAAAACAATGTTCATGGGCAATATCGTGCTAACACTGTAAAAATTGTTTTTTTTTTTAATGTAAATGAAATACAGGTATGATATCTATATGTCCATGTAATTTCATCTCTTATATCCTTACGAAAATGATTATGATTTTGAAAGGTTTGGGATCTAGAACGGCGACAGTTGGATGCTAATTTATAATGGGGATCCAATATAAGTGCATTCTCTGCAATTTGTAGCACTAATTACATGTGAGTTTCCTAAAAAGTTGACTTCTTACATTTCATATTTTCAATCTAATGTATAAGGATCATAGGAATGTTCATCGTTAATTGTATATCATTACAAACATATATGTTAGAGATGAGTATGGATATTTGTCTGTGTTGAAGTATGAAACTGAAGAAGGGAATATCCAACCTATGTCCTATCAGCTTCTTCCGGATCTCATAACTGGTAATGCGATTGCTCACTACTGACTTCTACTAATTGATAGTTGGCACATTTTTACATAATTAAGATAATTAATTACCAATACTTTTTGTTTTTGCAAATGTAGGTGGGATTCAAATACCTGATCACCAATCTGTTGAGGGACTTGTTGCCCAACCGTGTTCCACTAGGAAGACGTATAAAAAAAATTAATCTTTTCTTTTTGGTTTATCATTGAAATTCATTACCTATTTTATTTCTTTATGATCATGAGGTCAATCTTTCATAATGTCCATAAATGGATTGGGTTAAGTTATGTTGCATGTATCTTTTAATCTGCAGAGTGCTGATTGCATATCAAAACGGGTTGACAATTTTATGGGCTGTGGGTATGGTCAATTTTCTATATATGGGTTTTATTTTCAACTTAATCCAAAAAATGCTATGTATTCATTTTTACACAAGGTATTGTTTACCATTACATTTGTTTGTTATTTGGGTGAAATAAGAATCATTACTATTTTTCTTAACTCATTATGTCATAATGCATCCGTTGCTCAGTGACTAATTTGTAATCTTTCTGTTTTTCCGATTTCTTTGGCGTGTCCAACCCCGTAAAACGAGATTTTTTCCTAGTTAATATACATATGAAAGGCATAACAGCCTTATGAACTGTAAAGTATGTGAGGGCGCCTGCTTTTTGACATAAATGGTCCCTAAACTTTAATAAGATTGTTAATTTAGGCTCACTTTTTTAATTTTATTTAGTTTTGGGCCATTTTTTTTAAGTCTAAAACCAGTTGGACCACTTTTGATTTTTTTTTTAGTTAAATTTTTTTTAAGCAAAGCCAACATCACTTACTAGTTATTTTTAATACTCCCTGTTTTGTGATAACTTGCTAGTTTTTATTTTAATTTCTTTTACACTTAAAATCACAAGTTACAAAACAACCTTTGTAGTTTGATAATTTAAACTTCTATCTTTAAATTTTATTAGTTTGGAGTATTAAATTTGAAGGGGAGGGGGGGGGGGGGGGAATTTTATTATTTGAAAATGTTGACTTTTACTAAAGTTATGATGAAAAATATAATTACGAAATCTTATAAAATTATTAGTTGTTTGAACGAAACATATTGATAGTTTAAAACCATGAACACATATAATGTTTTTTTCTAGGATTGTAGTCTTAAAGAGCATGTTGGTTAAACACAGGGTACATGTCTGCAAATAGCGTGACGACATCTAATTAAGACCTAATGCCAACAATGTGAGTTTTTTTTCGTGTTTTGTGGTTGCTCACACATAAATGTTTATCATATGTTTATTATGCGGTTATTTATTTATTTATTAGTAGTATGTTTTGTGATAAGTATGGTTGCGTGCAAATATTATTTTGGATTTATTATATACCGTGGGTGTTTTTTTAGATGACATGTTTAGCGGGAATGGGTAGGTGTTTAATCGTCGTGATCATATGATAGATGTGTGCGACCGGCGAGGATGAGAATTGAGAATCATAGTCATTTCCTTGGATATTTAAAATTCTTGAGTAGAATTTGATAGGTTGTAACGGGGGGGGGGGGGGGAACGAGCCACTGGTTCTTTCTTTCGATAATTAATCATTTCCTAAATTATACTATCGGGTGATATGTTTTGCTGAACATATATGATAAAGCTATTTTTTTAAGTGATGAACATGTATCTGCAACATGAACTCACTAGGCCTTAGGCTTACCCTTTTAGAAATTTTAAATGTGCGCAATTTAGGAAACTATTTACCAAGTAGCACTAAGAAGGCTAATGAGAATGGTTGATCAACAAGACTGCAAATGAGTTCCGCAAAGACGTAACACCCGAAGCTCTTCGGTTGAAGACTTTATTTTGTTTTATTATGTTTTCACTGTAGTTTAGTCTATAATTAAGTTTATAATTGATCTTGGGAGATGTTGAAACGATTATTTTTCATTTAATCGATATTTGAAAAGTGGAGTGTTATAAAACACCGTTTTCTTATTCACCGTATTTGGTAGATGAATTGCTCTATCACTTTAACTCAAGCTCTGTAAATTATCGAAAGGGGATAAACATAAATTTACATTTAATAAGTTTATGTCATACCACCTTAGATGTCAAAAGTAAGCTAAGCAATGTAAAATTACAATCCCCTAATCTAATAAATAAGTACAATTTTGCCACGTAGCCCTCCAAAATCAAATTTTCCCTCTCAAATTATTAACTGAATTTCCAAAAATAACCATTGGTTTATTCAACTCATGGTAGAGAAAAATTAGGAATGAGATTTGCATTTTAAATGGAAACATGATTCCTCCATTTTACTTATATATCTTCTCCCGTTTTTTCTGCTTTTAAACACGTGGAATTGTAATCTCCTAGAAGATATGAATTATCAACCCAAATCTCCCTAAATCGGATATATATCATCAATACAAATCAGTATATTACTTCCTTCTTTATTCTTTTATCTCCCCCGTTTCTCGCTATAACCCTATCAGAGATGACAAAGAAGGAGAAGCCAAATTTCTGTTAAATAATTGTTGCTATGCAACAACCAGAACAGTTCATGATTGATCTTTTCCAGGAGATTACAACTTCAAAAGCTTCAAATTTTGAGATTCTGACTAGGCTGAGCGCAGATCCGAGCAACGTTGATCTTTCGGTTGAAGGTTGTTGCTTTAAACCCCCGTACTTATGGTAATCATCGTTGCTCATCATCTCCATTAATTTCCTTATTCACGAGCAAATCCTTTCAGACGTAAACTTTAACTGTTGATCTGTTAATTAGGGTTTTCATGCATATTTCAATCGATTTTTGAAATTAGTGATTAGTGATTCTGTAGGTTCCTTTGAAGTGTTTGTGTATTATATCCATGTGTAATAATGTGAGTATTTCGTTATTTGATTTTTTATTTTATCTGCAGAGAAGGCCACCGATCATTCCTAGATTTTTTTAGCGTAAGGAGCTGCATAATTTGAAATTTTGAGGTTAGGGTTTCTTTAAAAATGCTCATGTTGAACATTTAAATTTTGTTAATCACATTATAAAACCATATAGATGAGAATGAGTTAAAATTCAGCTTTGTTCTTGTAAATTAACTTATATATTAAAGTTTTCTTTTGTGGATATACACTTTTACTACCGCTGTTTACCCATAAACCATCAGTCACCACCATTACACTTCTTCTCTCTTCGGGCCATTCTCTGATTCTGCCGGATTTATTACTAGAGGTGAAGCAAGTGAAGGTAAACAAAAAATCACTATTTGTCTTCTTTAAAGATTTTGTTTACAAGATCTAAAAGGTTGTTATTTTTCTGGTTTCTAAAGCTTTTGAATCATGGTGAAAGCCTTATAATTACTTCAGAAGGCATTTAGGATGATTTGTTGACGGAAACCGCAATCGAATATTGTCGTCGTTTGTTGTCTGTAGTTATGGTATTTTTTCCATTTTCTTATAAAACACTTTTTCTCCTCTCTATCACCCATAATATAAGGTTAAAATATAGAGATTTGACATTGATATTACTGATTAAATCACTCCTTTCTGGATCAATTAAGGTGCTTTTCGTTAAAAATCTAGATTTAGAATCATATGGATTTTCATTAATAGAAGTAACTACACCTAGGGATAAGTTGTTTTGTGGAAGCGATTTTTTTTTTTTTTTTCTTTTCTGAAAGATAGTTGCATGACTCACTTGTTAAAGAAATTTTGGTGAATTTTAAATTTTTTAATCAATTTGTGTAGTTTGGGATCAATTAAGTATGTGTAATGCAATTTCTTGGCACTTGAAAACTTTAATAAATTTTGAAGTTTGTTAATTTTTGTCGGAAATTAGTTTTTTATCAAGCGTATAACCAATGCATCGATGATATTGAGGTTGAATGTGCAATGTTATGTATAAGCATGTATTTGAGCTCGATTTAGTGTATCCCACCAAACAAGCTTCTATGAAAGGGGAGGAAGAATTAATAGACATTGGCTTCCAAGTATAGTGACTTGGTATGAATGGATTTGACGAAATCTGATTAAAGGGAGTTTCAAAGCTTAATCATCTTAGAGTCATTTGTCAATAAAAAGTTTATAAATACCTCAATACTATACTTTTTAGTGATCTTTGCTTAAAAGGGATCTTTTATATGCTCTTTGCAGGTATGTGTTTTGACCTTTTTGCCCCTCTAATGTTTTATATTTACCTTTACCGTTTCATATTTTCCTGGCAACACTAACAATTGCAGCTTTGAGGATACTTTAGTTTGATATCACAAAAAACTATATACACTATACAAATGATGATTAGGTGGTGTTTTCTTTTTGACTTAACGGTTTAATTTTAGCATACAGGACAATCAAACAAGGTTATATTTATGTTTTTTTTGATAGATATTCATTGTTTATTGTTTATGGGGTCTTAGTAGTTGGTTGCTATTAATGACAATTTTTTGTACAACTCGCAAATTATATAAATGGTGGCAATTATGTATATTATATCATTGAAAATGTGTAATCAAGTGCCCTGGTGTTGTATCTTCTACAATTATAATTGCACTTACGAGCAACGGGTACAACCATTTGGTAATGTAATCTCATAACCTATATATTTCAACCTTTTTTATATAACACCAAAGTAGCATTTATTGTTACATGGTCAAATTAGAAAAAATAAAACTTAATTAGATTGATAAAAATATATCTTTCAGCCAAATGTTGAGAGGGTTTAAGTCCCGCTTTGGAGAAAAAGTTGTAGAATAGAATTAGAATAGCGGGTGCCTTTTTTTATAGCACAATATTTAAACTTTGTGAAAAGGCTAAAATGGTAACTTGATTGAAAAACCAAGAATCCATTTGCTTTAACATAAAAACGATGATATTGTACTATTGTATTAGTTTGTATTTTTGGTTTTGAACCTTTGTTTCTAGCTACATCACGATGAACATAGTTATATCGCATTCAAATAGAATTAAAATAGTTTAAAAAAGCTGCAATATACAAAAGGGTTGGAAAATGACACTAGGTTCTTTTTTAAAAATAGATGATGCAAGTCCCAAAAATGAGACAAGTGGCAAAATACAAGAAAATTGTTTTTTCAAATTGAAGTGATATGGTTTGAATAATTTTTTGTTTGTTGTCGGGCAGTTTGGTCATTTTTGGAAATTACAAGAGAAAGTAAAAACAAAGTGTAATTTGGTCATTTGTTGATTTTTTTAGAGTTCAACTAAATTATAAAGAGTTTTAGAATGAGTTGGGTAGAAAGGATATTTTGGTAAGAAAAAAAAAATACATGAAAAAAAAGATTAAAATCAGCAAGATCCATGCTAATTGTAAGATTGTGTATTTTTCATTTATTGATTGCATGTGGTATTACATCTTTTTAACCAAAATTTACTCTTTGGTATTAGCAATTTCATAAAACACTAGTTGTGAGACCCGTATAATATACGGGTTGATTAAAACAAAATGTTAAGTACGAACGATTAAATAGAAATTTTATTTGAATTTGAAATTGAAATAATTGAAAACTATGAGAAAAAAAAATACAAAGAATAAATTAATTAAAATTATGTGTTTAGTGTTTACTAAACGGGTTAATTATAACAAAATATTAACCATAAAGGTTTAAACTGTAAATTTATTTGGAATTGAATTTGAAATTTAAAATTTAAAATTTAAAATTTGATAGTCATTATGGTAGGCTTAATTTATGGAAAGTAAATTAATGATATATTGAAAATGAAAATTAAAGCAATGACAAGTGGAAAATAAATATATCTCAAATTATGACAAAATGACATGTGGCTAATCTTATAAGAGAATGACATGTGGCAAAATCATTTTCATTTATTAGAGTAGATAAGTTGAAAATGGTTGAAAGTGCTTCCATAGTTTTGAATTAATGTTTACTCGTTTGCATTTAAAAATAATTATAATGAATTTTTGGGTTGGATTTTATTTTTGTATATGGAACAAAGAATGTGGGTTTATTTTACTAGGTTAAAATGGAAAATTTGTATCATGTTTATTATTTTGTTATGGATGGAATTAATTCCATCATTTTATTTAGTCCATTTTTTTTTACTTAGATACAAAAAACAAAGAAAGTAACTTATAAAAGTTTTAAGTGTGTTGTGCTTTTTTTTTTTTTTTTTTTTTTTTTTTTTTTTTTTTTTTTTGTAGAATGTTACAAATACATTTCTATTATAACTATAATGGAATGATATATTATTCTATTATATAATCAATTTTTAAATCTATTTAAAATTAAAATCATGGGTTTCACGATTTTAACCTAGTAGGATTATATTTAAATCCTTAATTTCCACATCGACTCAATAAAATAATGGATACAAACCAAATTGGTACAATAACGAGTGTAATAAAATTAGCCCATAATTTCTATTGATTTATTCAATAAACCAATTTAATACATAATCATCAATAATTCAACAAATAATTCAACATGGGGTTTTACTATTTGGCATCATCAAAAAGCATAGATTGTATTTGTTTAATCCTTCATCTTGATCATATATATATATATATATATATATATATATATATATATATATATTATATATATATATATATATATATATATATATATATATATATATATATATATATATATACTTGCATACATACCTTCATAAAGACCTTCACAAAATTGCCCAAATTAAACATTATTAATGACCAATGGATCTAAAAAGCTCTTTTTTCAACTCTATTTTACTTCGATAACGTTATCTTACAAAGCATACATAGTGCTTATCTATTTAATTGCGTAAACTACAATTACTATTATATTTGAGAACTAAATTCTATAATACTTAAAGACAAAATCTTTAGAAGTAAGAGTAAACCTTAAAACTCATAGTTGGTTAAAATCATTTTATCTACCCTCATATTATCATTTAATGTTGTACTAATTTTCCATATGCACAATCTTTACAATTTAGTCCCTTTATTATCTTAAAATTAGTTGTTAAATAGTTATATTTGTTTCATTGCAACGTGGACATTTATTCCAACAACCGGTCTACAAAAAGTAAAATTAATCATACCACCGAACAATATCGATCATGTCTTTCAATGCAACACGGACTTTCTCACCTTCCAATGATAGTAACAATTATTTACGCAAGTATCACAATATGATATGCATGTGAACAAATGGTGGAATCAAAGTGAAACAAACGGTTAAAGAATTTTAAAGACAAAGATCAACATTTATCTATTGGTTTTGCAATGACGGAGTATACAAAGAACTTTGCAGTGTATATTGGTTACATGGCCATGGACGAAATTGCTTGGAAAAACATAGTAACAACAATAAATGATGGGTCTAGACTAAGATACATTTATATAGCCCAAACATAAAGTAACAAAGGTATATGCGTGAGTGTTTTATCTTTATAATATATGAAGATGCTTCATTTGTCTTTAATGTTTTAGCATATGGTGTCATAGGTTTAATCAAACTTTTGCACTATAAATATACACTCGATTAGTACTTCTATATCAATCTAATCCAAAATGGCAAAAAGCACCAATCCTCTTGCCGTTATATTTGTTTTTCTCTTCATCTTCTTCCTAGTCTTGCCTATAGGTAAGCAAAAACCGAAAAACTGGTTCTCAATGAAAAAAAAATACATCGTTAATTGGTTGCTAAAAAGTATGTTGCTATTAGATTTTTTTTGCCCAACATTTTGTAAATTAGTGATGGTAATTTTATTGAACTTTGTCTGGTTTTATTTTTATATAATGTTGAATGTAACTGCAGATACAGTGGTGGGTACGAAAGAGACAAATAAGGTATGTGAGCGGAGAAGCAAGACATGGTCAGGGTTTTGTGGAGACTCAAAGCACTGTGATCAGCAATGTCGGGAATGGGAGGGGGCAAAACATGGAGCTTGTCACCGAGATGGGGTTGGGAGGGCATGCTTTTGCTATTTTAATTGCTAAATGTTACAAGATCGGTGAAGAACGGGCGATGTGTATTATGGGTTTCGTAATTTCTAGCTCTTTAAATAAAAGTAATAAGTGAAGGTTTAATTATTATTGTTGTAATGAATAAACGAGTGCTTTTAAATATTAAATAATTATTGTTTTTTTAAATGCAATATTTCATAGTTGTAATTTCACCAAAAGTATTTGATTCCAAAAATGATAAACCTCATAGAAAACAAAAATCCAAGAAATTCCATGGGATTGGATCGAGCCCAATATGAATATCACCATTGAATCGAATTTGATAGTAGATATAAAAAAAAAATTATATTTAGCTGAATCCGAATAAAAATACCGGTTGTCCAGTTTCATCGATTAAACATTCTCCCGTCCATGGGATTGGATTGAGCCCAATATGAATATTAGAGCTGTCAAATCGGGTAGTCGTGTCGTGTTTTTGTCTGAAACGACACGACACGACAATGTTTTGTATAACACGAACACAACACGACACGATATCGTGTTTTTTTCATTAACACGAAAACGAACAAATTAAAACACGACAACACGATACGACACGACAAAGATAATATTACATAATTATTAGTGTATTTCATTCATATTTTAAAATATATAACACGAAAAAAACGACAAACAAGAAAAAGACGACAAGCACATGCTTAATCGTGTCAATTTCGTGTCGATATTTAAACACGAACACGAAACGACACGACACCGTGTTGTTTAATCTTATTAATACGAACACGAATTCAAATTTTGATTTCGTCCCGATTTCGTTTCGTTTCATGTATTTTTGCGTGTTGTGTCATAAATTGACACTCCTAATGAATATCAGCATTGAAAGGAATTTGATAGTAGATATAAAAAAAATTATATTTAGTTGAATCCGAATAAATACAAGTTGCCCAGTTCCATCTATTATACATTCTCTCATCCAAAACTATTAACAAAACCAATTATGTAAACTTATACTCTAGGGTTTGGTTGAAATAGAACTACATATTTATGGTCTCAAATCGGTCTCAGGGTCGCTCAACGGTCCGGCCTTGGAATGATCTGAATTTTTTTGGACCTATTTTTTCGGTCTGGTCTTTTAGAACCGGTCTCATGATTTTATTGTGTGTAATTTTTTTCACTTTGATTTCGATTTTTTTTCGATTTGATCTTTGATTTTTGATTTTTATATAGATAGAGATATATATTTGAGCTGAGTGTGAAGGTGAAAATTACTAAGTTATTTTGTATTTCAATTGGTCCAAGTAATAGCGGTATTGGGCCTAAGAAAGGCCCCAAACTTTGACCGAACAACTAACAACATGGTGAGAACAGAAACTTAGGCTTTTTACTTTTTATTCAATTGGAAGAGCGCCGGGCACCACCGTTACCCTCCTTCGTCGGCTCCTCTCTCCGCCGCACATCCTCTACTATCTCACCTGATCCAATGGTACGTGTATCCCCTTCGAAAATTTTCTTCTTTCTATTCTAGAGTCGATGTCTGTATATTTACTGTTTAAACACTCGACGTTATTTTTGTAGGCTCCGAAGAAGGAGAAGGCACCTCCGCCGTCTTCCAAGCCCACCAAGTCCGGCGGTGGAAAGCAGAAGAAGAAGGTCACAATACATTTACATTGCTTCGAACTTGTTGATGATTACGGATTCGTTTGCATCTCTTAGTTTGTTTCCAAGCTGTAATACTATAATTTTGATGATCATGAAATTGCTGTTGCGGAATGCAGAAATGGAGCAAGGGAAAGCAAAAGGAGAAGGTAAACAACATGGTGTTGTTTGATAAAGCTACTTATGATAAGCTACTTTCTGAGGCACCAAAATTCAAGCTCATCACTCCTTCAATTCTCTATGATCGTTTGAGGATATTTCTTTTTCTCTCACATTCTTATTCTTTCTATTGCAGACATCTCTTTGCAGCATCATTTATGTATTGTTACTTGACTATTTTTTTAATGATGATGACAGATTAATGGATCAGTAGCAAGAAAAGCGATTAGAGAGTTGATGGCAAGAGGTGCAATTCGGATGGTTTCTGCTCATTCAAGCCAGCAGATATACACAAGAGCTACCAATACATAAAAACCTCCTTCACAAATAAGTAGAGCTATGTCCACTTTTGACTTTGGTATCTTTATTTAAGTTGATTTAAGTTTCATTGAATTGACTAAATTTTGATAAGTCATTTGCAATTCTCCAAAAAAAGTTAGATTCATTACACTTTTTATTTATTTATTTATTTATTTTTTTTATTTTTTATTTTTTTATTTTTAAATCGATTATGTTTGTTCTCAAATGGTTGGAATGTCGATCACTTTATTGGTTTTGTTTTTTTTTTTTTTTCCATTAAGTCATATGTATTATAAGCATAAATGCGTTTTTCTTAAGAATCAATGAATGAATAAATCGTCTGAATGAGACTAATTTACCATTACAATTAAAAAAAAAAGATACTTTTACATTATTATTCAAAATATTTTACGGGCTTTAACGTAAAAAAAAGGTCAAATAATATGGTTTAAACAAATGTATATTTGTCTAGATTAATTTTATAATTATCAACCCAAGAAACTAGGTCTTAGTTGAGGCCCACTAGAATGAATGTAATGTCTGAATCCAAATGCATTTTCAAGATTAAAGATGAGTATGTGGTTGGATGATATATGCCATTTGCAAAATGGCAAATGGTTTAGGTTTTTTAGACATCTCATGATGGAAAAAGTTATGTGCACAAGCTTTTTGTTTGAAATGCTTGTTTGCTCATGGTTGATGCTATGTCAATTGTTTTGGTGAATTGAAAACATTATTGCTTTTTGTAAAATCTCTATTAACTTAAGACTTAATTTTTGCAATATCAAACTCTATCCTGATGCGAAATTGTTTTTGAAAATTCATATCATAAAAAAATTTCAAAAAGAAAGTAATATTTATAATAAACATTCATTGTTTTCTTACATATATAAACAATTTTGCAGTATGTATTGCAAATTTCCTGCCGTTAATTTTTTTGTGGGGACAATACAAATAGTACATTTTGCAACGGACCATTAATTTTGTGACTGTTTTGAGAATATGGAGTTTTAGGGTAGTTTATATCAAACCATTAAGAAAACATATTATTTTAATCTTCTTATTATCAATGTATATTTAAATAAAATATATGGTTAAGTATAAATTCATTTTGGTTAATTAGTTTTTCATTTAATTATGATACAAGCCATCAAATGTTGACTGTAAAAGTTTGTTTTATTGGAGTACCTTCAATTTAGCATAATATTCCTTGTAAAAATTTGTTTTATTAGATTATCTTCATTTTAGCATTATTTTCCTTTTCAAATACTACGTAGTTTTAGTTATATGCGATAATAATTTATTAGGGTAACACATTTTGTTCTGTGTACATATGCAGTAATTTTTTTTTTTTGTACGTGATTTACCAATTAAACTATCTACTCGTGTTCAAAAAATATAATTATGACCGGATATTGTACGTTTAGCTGGTTTTATGAGACCTTGGTATCTCCGATCATCTTTTCCGACCAAAATCAAAATTTCAGTCATCATTTTCGGTTGTTCTCAACCTGCAAAATGATTTTCAAACACCAAAACTCAGAGACATCTAATCTAGGTGAAGATCTTTGTCCGGTTTTCAAGCACCAAAACGCAAATTTTCACGTTAAGAAAATGAGTTCTGCAAGTTCTTGAGTTCATGAGGTTACACGATGAAGGCAATGAAGATATGAAAAATCAAACACATAAAACGACCCAAAAATATTATGGGTTTGTGTTAAAAAAAATCAATTTACATAAATGTGTCTCAAAAAATCAAACACAAGAAGAGATTCAAAAAATCGAACATAGAAAGAGTCATGTTGGTCCAAAAAGATGATCAAAGATGTTGGTTGAAGAATGACGGGAGGTGCAATGTATACCCAAAAAACCGGTTAAACCTATAATATCATGTTATAATGATATTTTTTGAACAATATAAGAGCTTTCAATGGTAAATCGTGTACGATAACAGGATATTTAACTCTTACAAGCATTAACCCTAGTTATACTGTCGAGTTATGCGTTACGGTTTTTTAGTTTAATAAAACATTTTTGACATTTTATAAAATAACAAGTACTTCCTACTTTGAATCCAAGTTTATTACACAAAAAATAGGCTACATGGATTAAATAGGATTTGGTGCTAGCTTCAAGGAAAAAGGCAGGTTAGACGTGGTAAGTATCCTTGCTTTTAATGCGGCTTTACTACAAATGGAGGTGGAAGTTTGTCACCGATGAACAATAGGCTAGGTGGGTTAAAATTATTGAAGTTATACATGGTGTGCATGAGAGTTTTATATGCAAGGAGATAGGTCTAAAAGTTCAAGGAGTTTGGTCTACTATCAATTATCACTGGTTCTATAAGTATCTTGCACGAAAAACATATCATCTTGGTAAATACTCTTGAAATTTGAGTGGATGATGGTTATTGTACGAGATTTTGGTTGGAAATTTGGTGTAGGAATGTAATTTGGAAAACTAAGTATCCTATATATATTATATCAAATTGAATTGCATGAGGAGTAGGGATCATTGGGATGGAGACGACGTTGGTTAAATAAAGGGTTAAGTTGTGTATTTTCCTAAAGCACACGAAAGACGGATGTAAAGTATGAGTTTGTGTTTAGTTTTAGAGGATGGACAACATATACCCGTTGGTACATGAGATTGTAAATAAAAATATAATTTTTTTTGGAAAATTTGATCTGAAAGAAGTTTGTAGTTGACTCGTATATGACTGTATAGATACAAAGATCATCAAACTCCGAGTTTGTATGAAGAAATTATGGTTGTTCGAAGTTGAGGCAAAATCTATGCAAGACCGCGGCACAATTTTAAGATATACGTGACGAGAACTCGTAGGGTTGTAAACGAACCGAATGAACACAAAATGGGGTTTGTTCATGTTCGTTTGTTTAAGTTCGTACACATCCTAAACGAACATAAGCGAACAAACATAATTGAACATATATGAAAATAAATAAACATATAATATAGTAATGGAATCAAACACAACTAATCATATATTAACATAAAAGGAACTTATATGGATGAGCATAAACGAACATTCATGAACATAATTGAACGAACGATACCATTGTTCATGTTTGTTCGTTTAACTAAACAAACGATAATTTGTGTACTTGTTCATTCATTTATCAAATAAACGAACGTCCTGCCAAACGGTTGACGAACACTACGATGAAACTCACAGCTAAATTTAAAAAAAATGGGTTTTAAGGGCAAATATCGATCTTTTTGCCCCATATTTCATACTTGCATGCTAGAGAGGGAAAAGAGAAGAGTTTCTTGGCGAATTTTAAGGTCTTGAGCTCAAACTTGAAGATTTAAAGAGAAACCAACGGAAGCTTCAAAAAGATTCATAATTAAGCTTCTATACCTTGGATTAGAGTTATTCGAGTTGCGGAAATCGAGACAAGAATATGGCTTCAAGAGTCGAAGCCTAATACATGTAAATTATTACAAGTCGAGTAACCATACCCGCTTCTATAGATAGCTAATATCTAGATATGTGTTGTTGTATATCAATATAAATACAATATGTTGATTGTTTTGGAGTAGTAATTTATGTAATAAGAAGGCTAATAATGTTATATATTGTTGTAGGTTGTATTAAACATGTATAGCTGGATTTATAGAAACTTATTTCTTTGTGGAGTTATAAGCTAATTTAACTAAGTGTACATTTAAGTTATGTTACAATATAAGTAACTAGCTCAACCATTCATTATAGTGAGTTATGAGGTGTTCGTGCAATTATTTATGGTTGTGAGCTAAGCTTGTCTTGCCCTTGGAATATAAACCAAGTAAAATTGTTTGGTTATGAATTGTATTATATGTGATCAATGATATGATTAAGGTGGAAAGTAGAATCTAGCAGTCTTGGTGTCCGAAATGCTATGGTTCAAGATGATTTTGTATTTTGGGATAGTCTTGGTGGCTGCAATATCCCGAAGTATGAATAATTAATTTTAATGTAGCCTTGGTGGCCAAAATACCATTTTATTGGAAACTATTGGCCATGGTAGTATTGGTGATTGTAATACCAATTGACTAATGTATGATGGTAGCATTGGTGGTTGTAATATCATCACTGGTGGAACTGCAAGTTAGTGGCAGCCTTGGTGGACGTACTGGTTTATTTGTTTATTGTTATTGGATTATGATGGTAGCCTTGGTGGCCGTAAAATCATCATTTGTGAAACTGCAAGTCAATGGCAACCTTAGTAGCCATAATACAATACTTGTATTTTATTATTTGGTTATGATGGTAGCCTTTGTGGTCGTAATACCATCATTAGAAAAACTACTGTAACGTTCAAAAAATTTCAACCAATTTAAACTTTTCAAAAACAACCCATATTCATTAATTCATTACAAAAATGTTTTCAATTCATTTATTATCAGAATATTTCTCAGAACCACATCATAAATACATAAAACACGAGGAGCGGTACGATCACGCCTTCGCCTTGCCACGATCTCCAGAAGTACCTGAAACAATACACTGAAAACTGTAAGCCCGAAAGCTTAGTGAGTTACCCCTAAAATACCAACCACATAAACCATACACATATCATATCATATCATAAAAAGAACAACCATGAACTTCGGGTCTACTGCGTGGCTGGTCCGCCGCACTGGGCCTTCAGTCCACCTGGTCCACCCTCCGAGTTTAGCCATATACATCGAGTCTGCAGTGTGGTTGGTCCCCCCGCACCGGGCCTTCAACCCACCTGGTCCACTCTCTAAGTCTACAGTATGACTGGTCCACCTGCACCGGGCTTTCAGTTGGCCTGGTCCACTCTCCGAGCCTCGGTACGTCTGGTCCACCCTCATGGGGCCTACAGCCTATCCGGACCGCTCGCTGGGCCTTCGGGATATCCGGTCCACCTTGGGTATGTTGGCTTACAACACAAAGCAGGGCCCGCCTCAACCCAACCCCAGTCAATCAACCATGTGCACATAAACATATAATCATATAGCAATTCATCACTAATCAACCGATC